CGCATCATCAGTGAGCTTTTTCCACATTGACTTCTCAATACTTGTCGTATCTCTTCTTCTCTCCTGATACGTTTACCAATCCTATATCAACGTATCACTTCCTACACAAGCACTTTTTCTAACTTGCTTATTTTAAATCGAAGATATGGAGACCAAGATGGTGTGGCCTCCAGGATATTAGCAGTCACCTTTCATTTTATAAAAGTGGGTTGACCTCGTTGTCGCAATTTTGTCTTGTTGTCCGGGAGACTTAATAGAATGCACCTAGTTCGAAGTCCTCTGCCATAATAGTTATCATAATTCCCAGCATCAGACAGTGGACTTGGTACATTCTCAAACGTTTCGCCTTCATCATAGTCGGCATCATCAGTGAGTGCTGTCATTCTCCGCACCAAGCTACCACTCGTCAAAGAGACAATTGAAGTCAATCCTTCCACCAACGTTCTGCCGAAGATGGTTACACTATCACCACGAGGGGATCCGGATTGTAGGCGCGGGTCGGATTAGCCGATCGAAAAAGAGTGGGTCGGGTGGATAGTAGGTCACACTAGATTTGCCACAAAAGGGCACACATTTTAACGAGTGGAATGTAAGCAAGTCAGAAGTTGTGATAGGGTGGGAGTAGGATAAGAGGGTAAAGAGTTGATAGATGGGCAAGGACAGAAAGAGGAATGAGTGTAACCGTTTTCGGCAGAACGTTTGTCAAGGGATTGACTTCATTTGTCTATTTGACGAGTTCGTAGCTTGGGGGGGATAAAAGCAGCACTCACTGATGATACCGACTACGATGCTGGCGAAACGTTGGAGAATGTACCAAGTCCACTGTCTGATGCTAGGAATTACGACATCTACTATGGCAGAGAACATCGGATTAGGTGCGTTCCACTAAGTCTCCCGGACCAAGATGCGACAATGAGGTCAACCCACTTGCTTATTTTAACTTAATTTAGATGTGCCATTGAAGTGGATATAATAATACCTATTTACACTCCCCTAGTGGCTCCTTTATCCCCTCCATTGTGATGCAAGTGTTTCTTTAAGTTGGCTATTTCTTTTATGCAATCCTTTTCATTCAGATACTATCAGAGTCTCATTCTCGTACAGTAAGACTCGTCTCTTTTCTCCATAGTTAAGTGATTTCGCTCAATCATCTTTACTTTATTTGTACCACTCTAGGCGTTGTTTTCCACACTCTGCATCACGCCTTTAATATCATGTATTTTACAGCTTCCCTGAGAAGTCTTCCAAAGTTTCATTCTCCGGCTGAATGAAAACTTACCTAGTACTGCAGATTCCCTTATCGCCATTCAGAATTCCCATCAATTACATCTCGTGGTTAAGCCTTTTATTCACAGATCACGTTTATGATAAAACATGCGTAGCGTGCACCAAATATATCTGACTCCCAACTCATCTCTCGCGCTTCCATCCATAATATTAAGCCTCTGACATTCTTATTCTTTAGTCTCGTATGCGCCAACCCTCAAATGTTGTAGCTTCTTAATTGCTTTTGATTAGGCTGGTGCCAGACGTTTCTTGATTGCAGTTTTTCTCTCGGTGGTCTCCTATTTGCGATTATTTTTCCTCAATTCTAAGTTATTTCATTGGTCCAGTTGTCTTATTTTTGCTGTGCATGCTGTTTCCTCATCTCCTCCGAGTTTGCATAATCAATCCTCAAAGTCTTCGCTAATACAACCTACCTCCAGTATCCTGTAAATTATATTGCTTTAAGTCAGGATATCAATAGCCTTGCCAATCTTACCTTTTCTTGTAATTTCGCCATATGTGGCCTGCCTTACAGTTGATTTCTAGGAGATTTCATGCTGCGTTCGTGCAATGTGTTACGCTATTTCGGATCTTTCCATATTCATGTTTCTGCATAGTCTTTGATGCTGGTAGATTCGTAGCTTGATTTTATTCCTGTTTTTTAAATATGCTACTGCTCAAAATTGTTGCATGTTAAGCGATTAAATTTCTAGCAATCTATTTCATCCTCCCTCTCCTGTTTCGACCGCAAGCTCGTATGGAGTGAAGTTGGGGTAACTTTCGGTACGTTCGAAGAGGGGAGTGGAAAGGATTCGTAAGGTGGTCTCACCGGAAGGTGTAGGGGGATTGCTTAAGAGCTGTGATTGTAGATTTTTTGCGAATAGGTCTCGGCGCACTGCCCTGCGACCACAATGAATCCTTACTGAGCTTTGTCTGTCATGTGACGGACATTATCAGAGCAGGACACCAGGCTTAGAGATAATTCCCCAAAAACACGGAGGCAAGAAAGGTGGTGGGACATCAGAAACACTTATAAAAAGAAAATAACACCCGGCGTTTTTGCTTTCTTTTCCAGAATACTATTCCTCTTTCTTCAGATGAAGCTCTTACAAGATTTCGTGTTCATGCGGAAGCGCTTATGTGAGAGAAACCTGTAGGTCCATACATAAGAGATTATCTGAATACAAGGCAGCCTGCAAAGGTCTGCGGGCCCAAAGATTGCAATTATCCGAACACGGTTCGCACAGGACACTAAGTATATTGGTCTAATGCCAAACGCTTAGCTGGATATGGAGACTATACTAGCAGGCGAAAGATTAGTGATGCGGTAGACAAACAAAACAAAACAGTAAACACCTAAAACTCTTCAAACAGACTAGTCAAGTCAATCCCTTGACCAACTTTCTGACGAAACGGTTGGCTGTCAGTCCCCTTTCTGTCCTGGTGCCTCAGTCCACGATCTTCACTCTCGTCTCACCCTCCTTCTATTAGAACTTCTGTCATGTATGCTCTTTTGACGAATTTACCGCGGCTGTATCACACCTATTTGCCTTGCTCCCTTCCCTTTCGAGTGGCTGGTCCGACTCGAGCCTCCGATCTGGATCTGCCTCATGGGCCTGTATGTATGTTTCTTATCTTTCTGATTGGCCGATTTTACTCAGTTCCAGCCCCAGCGTACTTTTACTCCAGGCGATATTTTCAAGCCTCACTAGCACTTTCAAGGTCACCTCATCTACAGAGCGCCTAGGCTTTGATTCCCATGCTTGCGGATATTGGTTATTGCCTCCACATATAATCTCCTTGATTAAGCCCGTGTACCCTGAGCAAACTGTGGACATCTATCTCTGGTCGCCTATTACTTCTCAAGTGGATGTATATTCAATTTTGATGTTATTTCGAATTTCTGTGACGGTTGTGAATATTCGCATGCCTAGTCACATGCAACGTCAGGCTCCCGAAGTTATAGTTGGCTCTTCGACCTGAATACATTCACTAAGACCGTCTTTGCTTTGTTTCTCAAACCACCTAATGATCCATTAAATTCTTGTTTACCATATATCCTTGGTCCATTCGTCTCCTTTTTGCTTTGCTTATATTATCTTTGTAGATACAAAGAGAAACTGGGTT